TATATATATATGGCTAATGTTCATATGTTACTGAGAAAAATATCTCATGCATTTGAAAATAATTATTCTTGCTGTGCGTACTATGTGTATTATTTTCTAAGTGCAATAAATTATTGCATTGTGATACTCTTTGGTACCATTCTGGCATGCAAGAATTCCATTGTTGTGATGACATTTTTAATACGACACCTTTTGTGATGGTTGGCAATGAAATGTCTCCCCAAATACTCATAAACTCAGAGATAGGGCTTTTGAAGGGTTTTTGGATATACAGAGTGCTGAAACCATCAGAGAATTCAGTCACTAACGTCCAGTTGCTGTGTGTGTTGTCAGAGGTGGGGAATGGTCACAGGCTGGTCACTGAGATGTGACCTGGCAGGGTTTCTCTCCCTCCCGGGCTCTACTCCTCTCTGCTCTTTTATTTTTTTAAGGTGGGGTCTCATTATGCAGTTCAGACTGGACTTGAACACACTGTGTAGTCTAGGCTGGCCTTGACACAATGATCTTCCTTCCTCAGCCTCTTGAGTGCTTAAAGGTAAGAGAAATGGCTTTAAAACCAAAAAAAAACCTTATACTCTATCTATAGTCAGAATCATTTATTTACTTATTTTTATTTATTTATTTATTTATTTATTTATTTTTGGCAAAAGCTGCGGTTTGAACTCAGGCCCTTGTGCTTGTCAGGCAAGCCCTTATTCTACTGAGCCATCTCCTCAGACCCCATTTTTTTGGAATATGAGAAACATTTTCAACATAGGGCTGTAGTGGGCATAATCCAACCACATGTGACAAATGACAAAGCATAGAGATACAAACAATATAAATGAATTAATGAATTTATTTATTTATTTATTTATTTATTTAAGAGCAGAATATATTTATTGGGGGAAAGAAAGTTTCTGTCTGAGAGAGGGAGAGAAGGGGGTCCCCAAGCAGGTTATCTCCTATTTATTTATTTTGGACAGACGGTCTTGCTACATGGTTCAGACTTGTAGTCATCCTCCTATCTCACCCTCCTCGGTGCTAGCATTTCAGGAGTGTTCCACTATGCCTGGTTTCGGAGGTGGCACATTTTACCCAGGTTCTGGGGCTGGCATGGTGTGCAATACGTGCGATTGAACTCGGGTCCTTGTGCTTGCCAGGCAAGCACTTAGACCACAGAGATATCTTCCCAACCTCTAGTGAGTACTTTTAAATAAATATTTTTAATGAATACTTTAAAAGAAATATTGTAGAAAAAGCCATTCAACCATTAGATGAAATATAATTACAGTAAATTATAGATGAAGTACATTAACTGATAGAAATGGAAGTGATAGTAAAAGATGACTTTGAATTATCTTTGAGAAAGAATTCACTTTTTTTTTACCTATTCTAGACCCCTGATTATCTCAAAAGAGCATCCTAGCTCAATTCTTTTTTGTTTTTGTTGTTGTTGTTGGAACCAGGGATTGAACTCAGACCCTTGCTCTTGCCAGGGAGGAGATTGTTCAACTGAGCTAGCTCACTTCTATCCTTACTCCCTCATCATCTACATCTTTCTGTCTTTTTTCTCTTTGTCAACAATCAAAGGTTACATTTCTATGAATAATAACACAAATATATGAATATACAAGCAAAAATAATAGAAAAATAACAAACAAGTTGATAATACAATGCAGTTTATTTAATGATATATCTTTTATATAAAAATTGAGAATCAAATCTGATCACACATTACATAGCATTACAAAGATAATACAGAAACTTTATACACACTATCACACCATTTAGTTGACACCTGATGGTTCAAAGGACATGTTGTAATTTTTGTAGCTTTAGATAATTTAGTATATATAATTGCTGTTTGAAGAAATTTGAAAATTCATCAATAGGCTAAGAAACTGTGGGAATTCCTCAGTAGAAGCCATAGGTCCAGTATCTTCTACAGCACAGGGGGCGGCAACAGCCATAATCACAGCCACCATAGCCACCATAGCCATAGCCACAGCCATAGCCACAGCCTAGGCCACCATAGCCATAGCCCAGGCCTCCATAGTAGTTGCCATAGTAGCACATGGTCTTGGGATTGGACAGTTCTGTTGAGGATCTGGAAGTTGATGTCTTGTGTCTTGATGTCTCTACCTGCCAAGAGCCTTTTATACCTCTTGGTGGTGGTGGGGGAAACCACAGGCAGGGCAGAGTCATAGTGTCTCATTAATGTGCTTCAGGACTATATTTATCGATACAACAATGTCCTCATAACTGAGGTATTTTTTCTCACATATCAGGAATTCTTTTTTTTTATTTTCAGCACTCTGGCTTAGTCTATATTTAGTGAAGCATGTACATATGGCCTGATTGCATGATATGTAATCATGAAAATAGGTATCTTATTTTAACTTTGTTTTTGTTTTATTTTGCTGTAAGGAAAAGTTTTCTCTTGCCTTTTTTCCCTCCCTCTCCCCTTTGTTTCTTTTTCCTCTTCCTCCACCTTTCTTTTCCTCTTCTTTATCTTCTCCTCCTCTTCCTCCTCCTCTTCTTCTTCCTCCTCCTTCCTCTCTCTCTCTCTCTCTCTCTCTCTCTCTCTCTC